GTCACTCTCTTATAAGAAATAAGACTAATAATTAAAGTTTTATTAATTTAAAACAAAAACTTAGAAGTTCTTGAGATTTATAAAAAAGTATAATTAAATTATAATAAACTTTGGAAACTATATAAAGCTGTATTTAAAGGCGTATATAAATTATTAATATAATATATTAATTTTATAAAATATATATAATTAAAATAAAGCGGTAAATATATATCTCTATTAATATTTTCTATTATAAGATTATATTATATAAAAAACTTTATTTTTATTAATACTAAAGATAATTTTAAATTAATTAATTTAATATATAATAAAGAAAGTATCTTTTCTTCTTTTAATTAATTTTTTATAATGAAAATATCTATCTTGATATATTTATTAATAAAGATATAAATAGATAAGATAAATAAAGATTAATCTGAGTATATCTTATCTATATTAAAATTTAAAATAATATAACAGGTAGGACTTAGTACCAAGAATAATTAAAACAGTTAATTATTTTATTTTTAAATTTAATTATAGCCAGATATAAGATTTCTCTTAACCTGATTATTAACCTGACAGCAGGTATAAACCTTGCCATTAACCTGACCTGACCTGGCCGTTTGCCACTCTAAGTATAATAATAATAAATAGAGTGGTTAACAGCCAGGGTAGGATAGATTAATGGAAAAATTTATACCTGCTGTCTGGTTAATAGTTAGATATAAGATTTTCTTATACTTAACCGCAGAACAGTGTCAAACCCTAGGATCGCTTCCCTGCCCCAGTTAGCTTAGCCCCGTTGGTATACGTACCGCCGAACTGCGTCGAGGGAGTATCGACTGATGACTATCTGGAGACAACTAGGTCGTGGACAAGAGAAGAGAAGTAAGGCCGAATAGTACCGCGCAGCTATTTATAAGTAAGTGCGGACGAGCGTTCTGTAGCTAAGCTTCCAAACGTATAGTTACTTAAAGACAGTAGTATTGAGCACGAAGAACAGAACTAACTAAGTACATGAGCGAGTGTCCTTATATATCCTATCCTCCGTATACCATATCATATACTATCGGGTCTGCCGTATACCAGTATGGTAGTTGTAGACCACGATGGTATGTCGTATACCATATGTTCGTCCATATACCGTAGTCACGTGGTGCGAGGCCGTTCCGGGCGTCGTATTGGCAATCCGTGATTGTACTAAATAACAGTTTGGTTTTGCCCGAGCGCTGCCCTTATCGGCGCTTTCTGCCTGGCGAGTCCGCCTTACTAGTAGGTTAACTAGCAGGGGTCCGTAACAAACAGCTAAAAATAAGATAATTAATTATTTTAATTATTTTTAATATTAAGATCTACCTGTTATACTTTTTTAAGTTTTAATATAAATAAAATATACTTAGATTAATGATTATTTATCATAATTATTTATATCTTTTATAATAATTAATACAAGACTAAGCTTCTTGATTTCAAAGATAGTTAAAAAAAGTAATATATTTTATTTTAATTTAATTAATCTAAAATCACCTTAGATAGTAGTAAGAATAAATTTTTTTTTAAAAAATTACTCTTACAGTATGAATAATAGTAAATATATATATTTATGATTCTATCTTAGTTATATAGTATTTATAAATTATTAATATTTTTTAAACTATTTTTCCAGGCTGGTATATCTCTCTAAAAATTATTTTATATAATAATAAATATATTTATTATTTTTTTACAGCCTTAACAAGGCTTCTGAGTATTTAAAATAATTTTAAATATTATAAATTATTTATATTATTTAAATATAATATTCTATATTATTTTGCCTACTTAGTCTTTCTGAAAAATTCTTTTTTTTAGTAATTATGAATATAAAGACTTTGGACGGTATTTTACTAAGATTTATAAAAAAGTTTTATAGATTTTATTAATATTAATTTTTGTGATAATTACAGAATATTTTTATAAAATTTTTATAAAGAATTACTTAATAAAGCCTGATTATTTATTATATCAGAGATATTCTATATAATAATTACTAGATTTTACAAAATCTTATATATAAATAAAATTTAAAGATATCTCTAATAAGTACTAATTATTATTAAATATTTTTAGTATATATAATCATAATAGATTACATTTATATAAATATATATTTAAACTAAAATAATATTATATTAATTAAGTTTTTCTTATTCTTTATTTTTTTAATTATTTATACGGGTGACTAGTCCATTATAAACTAATTATAATTATTAAATTTATTTTTAGAAAATATTATTAAAATTTTTGTCTTTATTTTATAAATCTTTAAAAATTATAATAATAATATAAGTATATTTTTAAAAAATATATTATTTATCATAAAATCTTTTATAATTCTTATATTATATATTTATATATTCTATAGTATCTAGTAGTTAATAATTCCATAATTAGTTTTATAAATAATTATTTTTTAGAAAATTATAAAAAATAAATATTCCAGTATATCTTTAATTGAACTATTATATCCTTGTACAAGTTATATTTTAAAATGATATAAATGCTGATATTTATTATTTTTAAACTTAGATTAATAATATTTTAAATATTAAAAATTTTTAGACAGAGTGAAAGGGATCATGAAAATAAATAATAAATTTTATAATTTCTATATTTATACTATATTATTTATTATAAATACTATATATATAATATATATCTAGTAAAAAATCTAATACTAATATTATTATTATAGAAGCTTCTTTAATTATTGAAATATAAATCTATATTTCATCTAGAGATAGGATTAGGGGGGAAATAACAATTATTTATTAATATATTATATTTTATATATTATTTATAAATAATATAATATATATAATTATAATGCTAGTAGAACTATACTTATTTTGAATAAAGAAATTCTTTATTAATTAATTAATATATAATATATCTTAGCAAAGTCTTTATTTAAATAATAATAATCTATATTCATTACTATAGATTATTAACAGCATAAAAAATTATATATAATAATAAGTTTATTTATTAATTAATTAATTAATATTTTGTTAATATTTTATAGTTAACTTTAAGGCGTACCGGGCTTGCTGTTAAAGGTAATTAAAATAAATAATAAGAAATTTTATTTTTTATTTAATAATTATGATTCTATTCTTTTGACTTTAATAAAATAAGTATTTAAAACTAGTATTTTACTTACAGTGAGCTTTGAGCTTAAAAATAACTATTTAAATAAAATTATAATCTAGATATTCAAGGATTTTTTAGTAATTCTATAGTGTTATGAAAATAATCTAAATCTTATTTATGATTAAATTAATATTAATTTTTAATATAATAGAATTATTAATATATATAACTACGATCTGTCACTTTATAACAGTATTTAAAATATATTTCTAAATATATTAATAAAATGCTATATTCTTATTAAATTAATTATCAGTAATTAGATCCATTATCATTAATTATTCAATAATATTTTGTTAAGTTTTTTTTTAGTATTATAGTTTCTTGTATACCTATTTTTACTAGAAATCTACTGATTATACTTACTTAGCCAATTTTTTTATAAATTAAATAATTTTAATGAATATAGTATTAATAATCTTTGGATTCTTTAACTTATTATTTATTTTAATTAACCAATTCTGGTATCCGGGGTGGTTTCTTATAATTTTTATCAACATTTTTAATTTTGATAAAGGAATATAGAATATTTTGCAAATTTATTTATATTTTTGAAGTAAATATAATTAATATACTTAATATCTGATATATTCTAGAATCTGAAAAGTCTTTATAAATATTAAGATTTATTTTCTTATTTTTTAAATTATATGTTCTGGGTACATACCTTAACTATATTGTTTTTATTAGATAAAATATCTTTTTAAATTTATTAAATTATTTTTTTTTATTTTTTTTCAAATTATTTATTAAGTCTCTTATAGCTGTTCTCTTACTTTCATAAATCAACCCTATATTCATAATTCGCGATAAAGTTTAATTCTTTACATTATCTCACTATATTCACTCTTATACCCTTGTTGCTTGAACCCGTGAGATAGTCCGTTGAATCATGTCTACGCGAAACACCAGGAACCGTATCCTAGAAGAATCTCTTACATCTGGTGTTATTCTAGCAAACTGCAGTGTTTATAGATAAGAGTTATTATTCACCTGAATGCTGCCCTTACTGGTCTTTTCCGTCTAGCAATTCTGCCATATCAAAGATTTAACTAGTAGGGGTCCGTAACACTAGGTATATAAACAAGATCAATGAAAGAATTCAGTTCCGATCAAGAAAGGAAACAGATTCCGCTATATTAATGTGGCGTCGGTACAGGCTATACCTGATTAGGAAAAGTATATGGGCTATTTTAACACGGGTTCGCTAGTCATACAAGGGCTTGCCCCAATACAACTAGGTCCATCATCATTTTCAGAAGAAAAGTGAAGCTTTTCTACTCTTATCCCGAACTTCAACTCTATTCTTGTAGATAGAGTACTCAGACGATATCTAGCTGTATTGGGAGAAATGGGAAAGGTTGGATTGAGTATAAGGAACATTATACTGTGTTCCTTTGTAGATCCACTTCAACGTAGTTAGTAGTTAAGAGCCTTGCTGACCTAAGTAGATAAATAGACTGGACTGCGTAAGACTCTTATCTGCGGGGTAGGCCCGGTTCTCAGTCAACCTGGTCGCTTCTCCCCGAAAGGAAGCATATTCCGAGGGTTACTCCGGATCTAGCCATTATTATTCGAGTTAATATAGCCTACTCTTATCTTTACTATCATTTCTTCGGCATTTTTGGAACGAGTCGCACGTAACCAATACTGGAGAAAGGCCTTCCGGTGGAATTAATTTTATTTATAGGTTGCGTTGATCTTGTCACGCAGTTGCGAAGTGAGAGGTATTTATGTCTCACTCAATTTCTTCAACACTTCACTGAAGTATTTGAAACATCCCAAGACTGCATTGCTCTGACTTGTTCATCTGCAACACGCCACAAACTTTGAAGTCCCTTGTGAGAAGGTTCCATTCTCAGCTTTGCCTCAACAATGCCATTCTCGCGCTCAATCAATATTGTCGGCTGCCATGCGGAAGGGGAGGTAGGCGATGTACTCATTGGTGGGGTTCTTGATGTGCCGGGAAAGACAATGTTCGAAAAACTTCAATATTTTCAAAAAAACGATAGCTTACGCCAGCTGCTTCTCAATGAACCCCGGGGCAGGGCTCCAATGAATGTGAATGTCATTCTCCCCCCTTGCGACCCCCGCGCTGATGCCGGCTTTCTGATCATGGAAAGTAACGAATATGCGCCTATGTCTGGATCAAACACAATGTGCACTACAACTGTCCTATTGGAGACCGGCATGATCCCAATGAAAGAACCTGTTACTCAGGTGACTTTAGATACGGCTGCAGGACTGGTTACAGTTACTGCGGAGTGCGAAGCTGGCAAATGTAAAAGCGTTGAATTTGACAATGTTCCTGCTTTTGTTCTTGAGCTCGATTTCAAAGTGCAAGTCCCGGGTTTGGGTCAGATCTCCGTCGATATTGCGTATGGAGGGATGATGTACCTACTTGTGGAAACATCTTCACTTGGCTTGTCTATCGACCAACAACATTCTCGCGAATTGATTGATATCGCAGAGCGAATTAAACGTGCGACCGAAGCTGTCTACACCCCTGTTCACCCCGAGAACCCCGACATTACAGGATTTAGTGTCCTTGAGTTCACAGATCTACTCCAAACCGACAAAGATGGGTCTAAAGTTGCTACCAATGCAGTAGTTGTGACACCTGGGCGATTTGACCGCAGTCCCTGTGGAACAGGAACATGTGCCAGATTAGCAGTCATGCATGCGAGGGGTGAGATCAAAGAAGGAGAGATTTTCAAACATAGGAGCATTATTGGGACGGAATTCATCAGCCGCATACGGGGTGTTTCCAAAGTAGGGGACTACCCTGCTGTTCTGCCGACCGTGAAAGGTCGGGCTTGGATAACGGCATTTAAACAGGTCGTTCTTGACTCGACGGATCCATTTCAAGAAGGTTATAGACTGGGTGATCAATGGCCAAGCCTTTCGGACTAGCTTTTCTTAAGTTATGAACTTCATAGTCTTTTAGAGATAATCATTATAGTAGTACCACAATGAATCTATATAATATTAATATATAGAGTAAAGCAAGGTCTGTAGTTAATAAATCTATTTTTTTTATCTAGTCTTTCTAGTTTTACGTAGCCGGTTAAACCTAGACAGGTTAATACAGTAAAACAGGTACAAAATGTTGAATAAAAAAGTATATAATAATAATAAATCTTTCATTACTTTTCTTTTAGAACAGATCTACCAGCTGAATTGAAAAACAATCTTATATCGAATTCTATTTATAAATACTGCTTTATCTTAATATTAGCTGCTTAAATATGATATGAGCAGTGCTGCAGTATATTATTAATAATATTAATAATTTATATATTTCTCTCTAGTAGTCTAATCTAGTTATATTCAGATTTCTAGTATTATCTATAAAGGTCTAATGCGGAAGCTACTGGACTGCTGGCTGCTGGGTGCTAGTTATTATTACTAGCTAGAAAATAAGATTGATAAATAATTGATCTTAATAATACCTCTTTGAATGATGATACAGTAATTTAAGAAATATTATTATCCACATATTTTTTCTGTAAAGACTCTGTATAAATTACTAATTAATGTGCAGTTATTGTTAGGGGTTGTCCCCTGGTTCCAAGGGTACATCACCTGTAAATTAAGAAGGAATAGCTGATATTTAAATAGGGATCTCAAAAACTTCAGGATTTATATATATAATAATTAATTCACTAGGAATAATAAAATTGACTAACTGAGTTACTTATAATATAAAGATTCATTTCATAATATTATTCTCCTTTTTCTGCTAGTTTAAGGCTAGATTAAATATAATAGTCAGATACATTTATTATTTTCTTTATCTTATTGAAAATCCATATTATAAGTTTTATATATATTTTTTATCTGACCAGGGCGATCAATCATAGAATGTTGGTTTACCAACCGCAAGACATTCTACCAGCGCTTTCTGATAGTATCAAAGATCCGCAGGGTTTACAGAGTACCTACTAGATTGTCTAAGACATAATGAGTACAGACATAGATATTCGATTATTTTCCATGCCAGTAAGCTTATTATTGTTATGCTAGTACTTACTATCAGCTACTAGTAGATAGTTTGCTTTTTTTGTTAAGAACTGATTATAATGCGAAGGCTAATACCTGCCGCTGGGTAATACACCTAAATACAGATATAGACTTCAATATATTGGATATTAGTGAATTCTACTTTTGTCTTGCTAGTAGTGGCTACTAGTAGCCCACTAGTAAACAATTTTCTTTTTTTTTATAACTTTCTTTATAACACAAACACTAATACTTGGCGATTGTTTTCATTCAGATAACTGATTTACTGTGAACTAATGTGCTACTCACTAACTTGTGAAGAAGTATTATTCAATAATGTATGCATAGTAATCAACTAGTACTTATTTCATTTTGGTAAGAGGTTTGTTACAGACAACTGTCAACAACTAAATTTATATAAGATCCCCGTCTATCCCGAACCGCGAATATTATCTTCTTAGTGTATCTATCTTTCTACGAGAATATATATACAACAATCAGCGAGTAAAGAAGAGACCTTACATTATGAGGGGATCTTTTATCATTCTCATCCTCGCTGGTATTGCCCTTGCCCAGGAGTTTCATACACAAGTCATTGTGAGTTCCCTGAGAATACCGTAGTTCTATCTTTCGCCTCAGCAACCCTTTTGCTTACCGAACAAAATATTAGGATAGAAAAGCCCTAAATGCAACTGCTGGTAGCAAGAACAATGCAGGATCGGACATTGGAATGCTTGGTTCAGCAAACTCCTTCAAGAGAGAGAAGAAAGCTCCAACTGCCCGCTGCAACAAAGAGACAGACTGCCCTGCAGGACTCAAGTGTGTGTTCCGTGGGGCATAGAAAAAGCATGTACAGTAAAAGGTGGCACATGCAAAAGCGCAGTCGACTGCCCTAAACCGCTCTTGTCGAGTCTCTGCATAGAGGGGCTTGTCACACTATATCGGGCCCCCTAAAGCTTGGACAAGCCTGCGCCTACTACGACGTCCAATGTGAAGCTGGACTAGCCTGCAGCGAAGGAAAGTGCCAAAGTATAGGAAAATGCAGTGCCGACAAAGATTGCACTGCTCCTATGCTATGCTTTGATGGCAATGTCGCCAGGCCGGCGAAGGAGAAAAATGTACCGTTGTAAAGAACTGCAAGAACCAGCTCTCGCGCTGTGATAACGAGAAGTGCATGAGGCTTAGGGGCTATGGCGAAACGTGCTTGTCTGATAAAGAGTGTGGGTCTAGCAATTGCTCTTCTGGCATCTGTAAAGAGTTTGGGGAAGATGCCTTTTGCGATGCATCAACAGTGTGTCCTGGGGGCCAGATGTGCTACGACAATAAGTGTGGTGTGCGAAGATATGTCCAAAATGGTGGCAAGTGCTCATCTGTTGTCGATTGCGCCTCTGCCAATTGTGACAATGGAATTTGTCGCAAAGTTGAAAAAGGACCATGGGAATGCAGCTCGAACCGTGATTGTGGGAACAATAACTTCTGTCTCCAAGGTGAATGCAAGCGGGGATAGTGCTTGATATCTGCATGTCTTTATTCATAATGGACTATGATTTAACCTGTGGTATACTCGAGGTTTCATTCGATTTTGGAATAGATAAGTAAGACTCAGGTCAGCCGAGACAAACGGTATTAAATATTAGGCTGCTAAATGCACTTCATATGTGAGACAAGAATGATTTAAGAAGAGCATATATACACTAGAAGGTCACAGGAAATGAACAAGGGATGAAAATACATACCCATACAGGGAACATATCTTTCATAATACTGTCAAAGAACGCTCAAGAAAGTCTCCTATGACACCATTTAGGAGGAAAGATCTTGAGTCATCCGATGGATTGCGTTATATACCTAGTATTATATGATACATTAATAAGACCCGAGACACAGATGAGGTAGTGTAGGCTAAACGGATCATTTTTCGGCATCAACTGGCGACCTTCAGTGACTATGTTTTGCTAAGGAGCTTTAACGCACCTAGTTCTCGACCATTTCAATATCTTGCTTAGAGGACAAGAAACCATGATAACCTGGAATGGCGCCATTTGCTGCCGCATTCGCCACGTTATGGATGCCGAGCTCGTCCGCAATACGCTCTCGACGAAGACGATCCTCTGTGCTGATCTCATCCGCGAAAACGGCGTCAATCTCCTCGAGCGATAGCCCTTTCAATTCTGGCAGAACAAAGTATACCCGGACCAGGCCGAGGGCACAATAGCAGAAGAATACTATGAAGGTCTTATAGCCAATGTTTGTGATCATAACAGGCGTGACCTGTGCCACAGCAAAGTTCATAATCCAGTTCACCGCAGATCCAATAGAGACTCCTTTGGCACGTATTTCAAGCGATGATGACTCCGCGGTGACGATCCAGCCGACAGGTCCGTAAGGCAACGAGTAATTGACCACAATCCAGTAAATGAAGAAAATTGCAGCGTTGCCGGCACTTTTGTGTTCCGCAAAATCACTTCCGTAAGTAGCAATGAGTGCGGCAACAATGGCATGGGCAATACCCATGTTCACCAAACTCCAGGCTAGCATTGGCTTTCGACCAACCTTGTCTACCATAAGCGTACCTGGGATGGTGAAAACAAACATCAGAATACCCACAACTCCAGTAGCAAGTAACCCAATACTCCCACCCGATAGGCCGACTTGTGCGAAAACAGTGGGAGCGTAGTAGATGATTGCATTGATTCCTGTTGGAGTAAGCATTGTACTGACACTAAACCCCACGGTGAATTCAAAGGCTCCATGCTTACCTGACCACTGGCCAAAGGCTTGAACGCCAGCACCGAGGCCAACCCGGTGTAGCAATAACTTCGTTGTGAAGATCCGTTTATATTCGAGCACCTCAGTGCGCCAGGTTTTCGTTTCAGTTCCATAGCGCAGCCGAGACGTTTCTCTGTCTGCATAGGCGCCAACCTTGAGTGACAAGTACTCATACTGAACTTCTGGTGAGCTCGTATTTTGGTTTCGGAGGCGAGCGAGGACAGCAAGGCTCTCCTGTTCCCTGCCCACGAGCATGAGCCATCGCGGTGAATATGGAAGGAACCAGGAACCGATGCAAAGGACAATCGCTGGCACCAGCTGGAGTGCAAGTGGGATTCTCCAAGCTGCACTGGGCTGTTGTGGGTAGGTAGTTCCACCGATATAATTCGTGCCGTAACCGATCCAGTACGATACCATAATACCCACTTGTGACTATTAGCGGAATGACCATGACTAAATTAGTTTCATCATCACCCACAGCAAATAGCTACTTGTTGCAGCCCTGCCAGAGTGCCTCTGACAGATGGAGGTGCAAGTTCAGCATTGAACGTGAGTACAATGACGGAGAGTCCACCAACACCCATCCCAGCAAACCAACGACTTGCTAGGAATTCGTGTCAGTAGGTCAAGCCAGTTCGATGGTATATGCTTCTTCCTACAGTAAATATAGGCAACGTCATTGGTCGCGCCTACCTGGAGGGCGACACCTAGCATGAAGACGATACACCAGGCCGAGATGGAGCGCTATTAGGTATTAGCGGCTGCTTGTGAATGCTTGGCTTTGGGGGTACCTGCCTTCCTTGAATACTTATCCGCGAGGGGACTGCTGCTCAAAGCTCCGAGCATTGCTCCCAGTTCTAGACGCAGACGCTGTTACCTATCCGATAATGGTTAATCCATCCTCACTTCACGTACCCAGAATTCCGGTGAGAAGGCCTTTGGCTGTCGAATTGTTGAGCTAAGAAGAAGATGAGCTGAGGGTTCTGGTACTGAGTCCAGACTCCATTGGAAACTCACAGTACTAGCGAAACGGTGTTCGAAGTCAGCCATCACTTGGACCTGGCTAAAAACCCCCTTGATAAAATGATATTAAGTAAACGTGCAATTCGAAGCGGATTAACATGACATGAACCTACCTGGTTGTAGCCATAGAGCACACCACCCAGAGATGCGAACAAGGCTAATCCCAAACATTTTCTGTTAGACACCAGACCCCCTACACCAGTAGAAGTCCCGGTCACTTCAGCAAGGCCGGTGACTGATGTGCGTCTCATCTTGAATGGATGTTTCTCATGGACCGGCTCACGTACTGACTACCTTTTAAACGTGGCACGGATCTTGGAATCATATACCCCACGCCCCGAGCCCCACTGCGTCATCTTTGAGGGGTCAAGCTTGCCTGTTTCGAGCGAAATAGCCGGAGTAACTGCGCGAGTACCTGTTTGGCCACATTCAGGTTCCGAAAACCTCTTGGCACGACCTCCATCTGCTGGCTTGTCTGTCGGTCATTTTTAACGGCCAGTGCCATTACAGTACCACATCAGGTTACAATACCTAGGATATGTTCTATGCAAGGTGACGAACTTTGTAGTTGGAGTATCATACTAGTAACATCACGATTATAGTCCAAATCCACTGATATGCAATAGTGAGAGGGTAACGGGTGTTTCGGGTCGCAGTAGGACTTTATTACCTTTGATCGGCGTGGGCCGGCATAGCACACAGGCTTCATCCGGCAGACCGACTTCGGCAATTTTTCAGGACTCACAGTATGGTGTATCCCCGTATCCGCCTCCACAGATTCCCCAAAGTCTCTCTGGAGGTCTTTGGGGAAATGGGCTGTTACATTCTGCACTAACCTGTTGCGGAAATTTAGGCGTGGGATCGGCATCACTCACCACAGCCGCCCCACCGGCGCAGTACTAGTGAGGATGATGGAGCGGTCCGGCCACTGCCTGGCACTACCTCACCACACTGTCTTTTTGACCCTGGAGGGCAAAACTTGCGACATAAAATAAACTGCAAGCAGGGAGCGGGGTACGCTGGGGAGCAGCCAGGTGTTGTTCGATTGATGACTTGTTTGATTGACATATGGGAGTCAGATGTTGTTACTAGTTAACCCGACGATGTAGTGGTGTGATCCAAAATGTACTGACAGTGATGGCACGACCCTACTTTTTCTCCGGGGAGGGAGAATAGAGACGAGCAGTGCTCAAGCCCACCGTAGATGGAGCGCTCTTTCTACAAGGCCTTGAGCGGGAACGCACGCCCAACATTCGAAGTCGGAAATTAATTTGGCAGTCATCAGACAAAATCCATAGTTGCAACCTCACTAGCTGTCGTGAAATGTGGCCTTCCTGCATTGGGGTTTGGGAGCTTCGCTATAATGTCGTGTCCATTGTCCATGGTTATTTAGAAGACCCTGTTGTAATGGCCCTCCGATATCTTCAATACTTGAGTGCATGACTTTGATCCAACGGCAGAGGAAGCTATTTGTAAAAGTGTGGAGAGATCGAACCTAACATATCGGGAAGCAAGTTGCTGTTTTTCATCCCAGAGCCAGCGACCTGAGGTGAATTTGTCTAATGCCGCGAGTCCACGCTTGGGGTCTGTGCCTTCATATATCTCAGTAACGCTGGAGGAGAAAAAAGAAGCTAGCCTAAATATATCATGAAGGTTACAAGAACGCTAAGGTGTGGTATCTAGGGTCCTTCCTAGAAAGGCTCCTCGAATGACCCTCGTATCCAAAACTCAAGCGTCGTGGGATGATATTTCATTTCTTCGTCACCAAGGAACAGCTCCTAGGGATGCATGAAAATAAGGAAGCCGCGTTGCTGTGGCCTTAACGGTGGCTGTGGCTGTGCATTTGATTCTTATTAACCCCGTCACCTCGCTGCTGCGAAAAGGCATTTTATTAGCCGCCCTTTGTCTCCCCTGCTACTCTGTACCGACGATGGACGAACTAGGCGAGACAAGATAAAGCTGAGTTACCTATCCCCCCTTTAAAAATCCCATGCCGCACATCGCTTGCATATGTTTATACTACTCCGTTCGTTCTAAAAGGTTAATTGATCTGTTGATGCAACCCGACCGCCCAGCGCTTATTCCCGCGCAGCTTTGATGGGTCATTTCCCTGTTTGGGTTGACGGAGTCTTGCAGCTGTTGAATTATCTCCGGTTGCTGGTCAGGAGACATTGTTCAAGCTTAATCTTTCTAGTTGTGGAAGGAAGACCATGGCTAGAGTTGGAAACAAACCAACGGATGGAACTACCATTACTTACTACTGTTTAACTATTTGAACGAAACGATAAAGAACTGCTTGTATTCAACATAACTGATTACACTAGAAATAAAACTAACTAGAAATCGTAGAGGAGGAGATTAGTAAGAATCTCTACTTTTTTTATTACTATTATCCTGCCAGGAATGGCAGGCACTTCCTGCTTATATAATAAGATAAATATCTGACAGTATCCCCCTCTTCTAATTCTTTAATAGATTGACTAACTAATCACTGAAAGGAATAAATATCAAAAAAAATAAGAATATAATATTAAAATATAAAATATAATTTTCTATCAGTTAAATATAATATCCAGTCCTAAAATTGTATAATTTTATAAATTTAAGCTATCTTACTTTTTTATATAACTTAATAAATTTAAATTATCTTCTTTTTCTGAGTTTGGTTCTTTAATCTTATAAGATATAATAATAATTACTTACAGATATTATACTAACTGTTTTTCTAGAATAATAATATACTCTTACAGCTCTGTCATGATATTTTAGACAGTTACCAGTACTAGTTATATAATATAAATTTAATTCTCTAATTTTTTAATATAATAATTTAACTCTAACTTCTCAGTATCTATATAGATCTTCATATCAGTAATCTTTTTTAAATACTAGTTTTATTTTATAGCTAGTCTCTTAAGTATTGTTTTATATTATTCTTTTATAATTAAATTTTTTTTTATATAATTATATCCTTCCGCTTTCTCCTGACTCTTTATATTATAAAGATTTTAAGTCAAAGTATTAAATATTATCTTATTCTTAATAATTTATTTAAATTTATAGATTTCATACTCTGGAGTCCCTCTGATAGTAATGAACTTATTATTATAATTATAAATAATATTATAAGTAGGGACAGCTCTTAGATAACTGCTGCTATATTATATAACTTTATTAAAATAGTATTGGTGGTTGTAAGCTACCTTTTACTTTAAAACTAAGTTACTGATAATATATTATAATAATAATAATTCTTTCTTTTTATTTTCTTTAAAGATTAAAGGGTAATACTTTATTTAAATATAATTTATAAATTTCTAGAAATAATTTATATACCTCTTCCAGATATTTTAATTTTAATAAATTACTACTAGTAGTTACTCTTCTATAAGAACTATATTTAAATTAATATCTATTATATTATTTATTAAATTATTTAAATTAATATCTTATTCCAGCTCTTTATTTTACTTAGTTTTAAATTATAAAATACTTTCTAGTTTATACTTCTTTCCTTTATTATCTCCAGTTGGATCAGGACTGTTTTCTTTAAATAAATTAATAAAAGATAGTAGGTTCTTATAATTAGATTTTTTATTAAATAAAATTAAATTATTAAATAAGACTAGAAATTATTTAAGAATCTTATTTATTTTTTTATATAACTGCTCACTCAGTCCTTCTTCAGCATCCGACATTGTGGTAGTAATAAGAAATTGTAAAATAAGAAGTATCAACTGCTTCTGTAATAAAGAAAATAAATTAATAAAAATATTAATAAAAAGTAAAATCTAATTAATAATAGAAAATAATAAAATAAGGAACTTAAATAAAATAATAAAAGATCTAAATAATAATTTCAGTTCTTATTTATTATTATTTTATTTTATAATCTTACTTTCTTAGTAAATTAATACTTTTCTGATATTCTTGATTCTTTACTGTTAATTTTTTTATTTCTAATAATACTTTTTTTTTCCCTGCCAGGAACAGCTTCAGATAGTTAATATAATATCAATCTAATATTAGATTAGTTCTTATTTCTGATAGAATAATAGAGTATTTATATCTTAAAACTTTATTAATTTTAAAAAATTCTAATTAATAAATATCTAGTTTTCTTCCTTTATTTTTTTTAATTATTATATATTATACTAATATTAAATCTTTTATCTAATATTCTATAGTATCTTTTTAATTACTCTGATACAGGTTTTATTCTGCTACAGCTGATTTATAAATCTTATCTAAGAATATTATTCTTGATACAGTTTTTAATATAATTACCAGCTGTCAGAGATTATGCCAGTATTATTTAATAAAATACTGAATAATCTAGTCTTTAGAAAATAGTAATTTTAATCTTAACTAGAATTCTAATAATATTTCTACTGGTATAAAGCTGCTTAGCTGTATAATTCTTATATTAATAATATAAATTACAGTCACTAAGTACTTGTTCCAAGTATTAATAGAACTTTTAAAAATTATTATCTATAATTTCTTAATAATTAGATTAATTATTTACTCAACTAGTCTTACTAACCACGGGACTGTTATCAGTACTAATATATATTTAATCTATTACTGCTAAATTCGAGATCAGAACCCTTTTCCAGTGAAATATAAATTATTATCTATATAAATTATTAAGAATTAACTAAAATAGGCTATTATTTATTATTATATAAAATTATAATTTTATTTTATTATAACCTTTGGAACTGCCTCTATAACTATAAACTGACTGAAGTAATCTACTTTAATAATAATATAATTATTTCTTTAATATATCAGCGGGAAGAATGGCCTAATGTAATCTAATTTCTAAAGTATTATCAGTTTAAGTATATTTACTTTAATAAATAATAAGGATAATAGTTTTAGCCTTATTATTTAATAAATATAATATAATTAATAGTATTCTTTGATATTTTTATATTAGCTAGATTAATAGATTTTACTGATTATCCTCCCTAGCATGATCCTGGTCGAGAACTAGCTATGCATATTATAAAGTATTTCTAATAATCTGTTTACTTTATCTAGTATAATATAATGTAACTATTATTTATTCTATTTCTGGTAACAAAGTCAGTTATTATAAATAGTAAACTATTTTATAAAATCTTTATCTTTTATGGGACTAAGCAACTGCTCCATTATCACTAAATACTATGAATATTACTGATACTTTTTAATTATTAAAATCTTATTAGTTCACTGTTATTATAGTCTATTAAAAATAAAT